CTCTTCGGGAACATGATGCACTCATTTCAGGTTCAACTAGAGATTGATCTCAAAATAAGTACATACAGAGCAAATTTCTTGATGTCTTTTAGCTCTTTCTTTCAATGCTGTTTACTTACTCTAAAGTTATCATTCAGCTTATTCCATTTTTCGTATCTTTTATATATATACGCGTGTCTTCATTGGAAAACAAAACTGTGTTTTATCACTTCTCACATGTTTTGTCGAACGTATCACATATAAGTCGATACCTATTATATACTTCCTCGAAGACATCTCCACGTCGACCCCATTTCTTTAATTTGGTATAATATTCAAGAATATGTGCTGTTATACTTGCATCATTATCCTTGCCAAAAAATGGCCCAAGGATGTCGAGGACGTATCCATCTGGCAACACTATCGACATGAATTTCAATAAGTGATGCTTCTTCTGTCCGGAGTACATATATCGCTATAGTTCATGGTCGTCACTTCTGTCGAAGTAAAAGTCGGTGCCGTCCCAAATGAGACAAATATTATCTCCATAAAATGCTTTTGTATATGCTGTTTGATGACTTAAGGCCATTTCTCTCGTTAAATGTTCGATGCCAAGGTGTTGCGGCACAATGACTTTTTCAAATGCAGCGGTCACTGAATGAAATGAATCAGATACTCTTTTCCGAATATCTTGGTCAGGACAATCAACACGAAATAAAGTACCAATTTGACGAAGCGACAAGTTAGTTTTCATTTTAATCCAGAATTCTGGATTAAATTCAATAATATCATCAGATTGGAGAAGAGCGAAAACGCTTAAGATCCAGAGGATATCTTATTGTAGTACTTTATGTAAGCACTAGTTAGATTTTAGTCTATTGGAAAAGACGCCCATTGTATGTTCAAATAGATTAAAAAAATAACATTTGCTTTTTTGTATTTTGTTAGTGATGGGACTAAATAGGTGCGCTAGAAACGAAAGCAAAAGAGAAATTCTTGCACGACTATAATAAAAGAAGTATGTAATTTTCTTTCGTTTTCTGTACAAAATTACGAAATAACATATATTCACCTCAGTCACGAATGAAAGAAAAGACATAATCGGTGCAGCCGTACCGAAAAGAACAGATGGTATGAGGACTGACGACTAAGTGCATCCGCTATAGTATCACTAAAACATATAGGATATTTAAAATTCGAACTGAAATTCATTGGATGAAAATTTTAGATTTAAATAAGCTTCAAATAACATTTCATTTCCCCATAATTCTTTGTTATGCTCCCGATGAGGGCGCCTCACGATGGATCTCCAACACAATCTGTTAGTGGCACCTTCATCGGAGATCTCAGTGGCTACGCTTGAGCATAACAAAGAATTATGGGGAAATAAAATGTTATTTGAAGGTTATTTAAATCTAAAATTTTCATCCAATGAATTTCAGTTCGAATTTTGAATATCCTATATGTTTTAGTGACACTATAGCGGATGCACTTAGTCGTCAGTCCTCATACCAAGAAAATTAGGCAATTCGTTTGTTTCTTTCGTTTCGTGGTATTTCGTCCCATAACTATGTTTTATATGTTTTGTGTCTTTTCGTTGTTCTAAGAAACTAATGTTTTTTTCACTTTTGTATTATGAACAGAAATAAAGAGTTCTTACTTGAAAACGCACAAAAAGATAATTGATTACAAGGATACAAGCAGGAGGATTATGGCTGAAACGAGTATAACCAGGAGGCGTAAGGAATCATTTCTTAAGAATACATAAGATCTTGTAAGATCTTATCATGAGAAGCAACAAGATCTTATAAGATCTTATAAAATTATACAGAGCCATGTAAAATCTTTTAAATTCTTATCATAAGATCTTATCGGATCCTACTCCAAGATTGAATAGTCCAACGTACAAACCATACTGGTAACATCATGCAGTATGATCGTATAAGATCTTATAAGATCGTATCAAATCTTGTGGCTTCTTGTAAGGTCGTATAATTTCTTATAGCTTCTTTCTGTAAGATCTTGTAAATTCCTGTGATAAGAAAAATCTTGTAAAATCTTATAAGAATCTTGCTACAAGATGTCATATGAAATCTTGTAAAATCTTATAGGAAATTGATAAGAATTTATACGACATTTTGCAATCTTGTGATTTCTTGTCATATGATTATCCAAGATTATATATAATCTTGTAAGATCTTCCACGATCTTGTTATCTGATTCTTGGACCTGAGTTACATTCCGCCTGAGTACCTTACGTCCTTTAAATTTAGGAAATCTGCTTTTTTTTGTCTTATTGATTTTTTGGAAAAAGTTTTTAAAGAAATAACATATCTTAGAACTTACATGTCGAGTAGTGGCGGAGCCAGGAGTTTGATCCAGAGAGGGCTCAGCCCAGAAATTTTCTAAACTCCGTCAGAGGTAAGCTCATTTAAATTTAATGCTCGAAATATATAAATTTTTTAGAGGGGGCTCAGAAAGTTTTAGAGAGGGTTCAGCCCCCTCTCGCGCATAGCTGGCAGTGGCGGTTCGACCTCACCCCCATACTTTTTTAAAAAATTTGGTCAAATTTACTCCCAATTTGTGAAAAAAATATGAACGATTTACTTCCAAATTTGGGAAAAGATAAGAACGATTTACTCTCATTTCGAAGAAACTTACATACATTTATACATTTCCGCTTGCCTCTGGCTCGGCTAATATATTGTATATCTGTACTAACGTAGAATTCTGTAGAATGTCTGTATTACAGGAACTCGGACATCCCTCTAAAAACACATTCTCTTCTTTCTCTTTAATTGTACTATGTATCTCACATTAATAAGTACTGCGTATAGTATGATATAATAAGAAAAAGAGTGGAGATGCCGAGTATCGATCTCGGTGCCTCTCGCATGCTATATTGAAACAGACACGTTAGAGAATCAAAATATTGATCTAATTGTTGACTATTATGAATTAATATGGAAACGTGTGAGAGAAGAATAATTTCGGAATACTAAAACATTCTTAACTCCCTCAAAATTCATGATAACGACCTCAGAACTTCAGAAGACATCTGATTTTTTTCGACTGCTTCTAGGTATGACTTAACATTAATACTGGAGAAAGTTTGAGGAAAAGGATACGGTTTTTCCAGTCGAATTTCTAGAAACCTTGAAATAAAAAATGACTTTTTTGATTTTTCTGTTGTGCAGTTATGGATATAACACGAAATAGTGGATTTATAAAACAGTCGAGCCTATCTTATTTTCAAACAGATAGTAGTGACAGTTGCATTCTCTAAACAGCGTAAAAATGACATATATCGCACTTTACCTCTTTTCATACTTTTATTAAATTATGTTGTTTGAATAACTCGAGAAGAAAGGTAATAGATTCTTACGGCTTTCGTCATTCAAAAATCAAAGACTTTGACGCTTCTTTTCATAAATAAAATGAATTTCAAAATCTGTTTTTAAATAGATCTCTGTGGCTAATATTAAAAGAACTTGTTTGGTTCTCTAAAGGCCAAAGTGGGAATATATTGTCCTTTTTAATGGATTAGATAGTGCAAAGTGCTCTCCTTGAAATGGCAGTAAAATAAAGCCCTTGATTTTCATTAGTTTTGATGGAACAAAACATTTATCAATAGCCGAATGACTGATATCTAGCGGACATTGCCACAGTGGGCATCCAGGCGGAAATTAGGTGAAAAATCGAAGTTGCTCCAGTTGCCAAATACAAATAGTGGAAAATGTAGCCCTTTCAAAGGGCTATCGAATTGATAACAAAATATTTGTATTTTGGCACCGAATTCAATAAGTAAGAGCGATATGTTCTCCATCAAGTCAGTCCGTAGTAACAGTACTCCAGTATAATCGGGTCGCCCTCGTTTGCCCCAAGCGAAAATAACATTCAAACACATCAAAATGTTCCTCAAACGCTACTCTATGTATTCTAAAATCGGTCCGGTCTCTAGAAAACCCACAAGGAATTATTTTTGAGTACTGAAAATCTCATAATTAGAAAGAGCATATTCGAAAACCTATAGAAGAACGTGTTTATAGGCTTTCATACCACTCCTACAACATATGTTCGCCTGCTCTATAGAAAAATACCCACGGTGCACTGGCAATTTGAAAATTAGGACGTAGAAAACTGACCATGACGAATCTTGAGGCAACACTTGTATTTTGGAAAAAGTTCAAAAATCTATGGAAAATTAACCTAAAGGATACATTTTGTGGACTGTTGATAGACTATAAATTACACCGTTGTCAACTTCCTGGGCAATGGACAGAGTTAAGTATTTTGTCAAGGTATGTGCAGATCGACTGAAAATGTGAAATATATGTTTCATAGAAGAATTTTAAAAATGTGGTGATTTGTAGTGTACACAATAGGAAAAGTGCAGGTATTATAGCCGTTTTATTAAAAGTCTATCTTGCTTACTTTTAGTTTCTATCAGAGTGAAAGTGTTTGTGTGTGTGTTTGTCCGTACACGGGTGTCACGGACATACATACACATAGTCATGTGGCAGTGTGGCGGACGTACATACATATTGTTTGACAGTGTGACGGACGTACATATACAGAATCACTAATGAGTGTCATTGGCATTGGTGCACAGAGGTGCTTGCGTTCGAGCTTTATGTAGAATCAGGGAAGTGTAACATCTATCCTGGCTGCGAGCGCGAACCGAAGGAACGCGTTAGCATTTTCTGTGATTTAGAAACTTAACGTAGAATAAATAAAGTAAGTCCACTCAGTGTATTCTCGGAATTATTCTTCATTGTGTTGTAACTCGATCTTGCTACTACAGAATTGAGGCATATATGTTTCGCAGAAACACTTGCTTTAGCTTTTCACCGGTGAGAAACATTTATCAGAATTGCTATACTTCATCGAGACTCTGTAATTTGATTTACTTTTACCTGTCGCACAGATGTTCGAAATCGACGTAATATTACCAAATCTATCGGTCTTCTCACCCTTGATAAAGAAACCTAAGTGGGGGCAAAGTTTGGCCTTCTTAGTCAGAACAACGCTTACACCTCCCTTCGGTCGGTGTTCGCTAGAGACTATCTACCATGCGTTATGATTATTTCTGTGACAT